ATGTGTGAATGGTCTATTCGAGTCTCTGCACAAAGTTGATGCTGCAGGAGTGCCGCTGAGAATGTTGAAGGAAAAATGGACTGAACAAGGAGGCAAGGGCTAGATCATAAAAGTCTTTATAAAGTACATGGGAAATAAAGAAGCAGAGAGTTGAACACAAAGCAGAGACATTGCCGGATTTGTATCATCAGTGAGCCGCAATCAGATGTTCATGTTAGATCATCTTGGTGGTATTAAGGAGGGGAATTGAGGGAAGTGAGGTTGGATTATAGTAATAAATAGAGAAGTGGTGATGAGGGAAGTGGCATATTCGGGGAAGAGAAAGCAAAACTGGAATAAAGAGCTGAGAGAGGGAAGGAGGGAGGGGGCAAGGGAAAAAAAAAGAAATAATCAAGGGTTATATATGAATTAGATGGGTTGTGTGTGTGTGTTTGTGTGCACGCGTGTGTGTTTGTGTTTGTACATTCAGGTGTATTCAAGGGATGGGTGGGCAGGAGTAGGAGAGATAGATGAACGTAAGATGTAATCCTGACTTGGGCTAAAAGGAAGCTGAAGATCTGCTCCAAGAAGTGAGCATGGGGTGCTCACATAACCCCTTTTCTGTTTTTCTCTGATGGCCATGCCAATTCTGCCCGGGAATGAAGACAGCATTCGGCTGTTACTAATTATGTATTGGCCCCTCTGCCACGCCATAAACTGGGACATGGAGACAGGCACTATTGATCCTGTGGTACTATCCTCCTCATATTAACTTCATGGAACTTCACACATTAAAAATGTTTAAAAATAATTAATGGAAAAATAGCCACATAAAAATGCTGCTACATAGATTCAAGTCTCAGAAAAAAATGCATGTACACACACAGACATGAATCTATATGAGTTTAATTTTTAAATGTACTTGATATTCAAAATGAAATCTTAAATCATGATAAAAACATTAATGATTCCTGCCAAAAACAAACAAAAAAAAGAAGTGAAATGCCAAAAATACATACTTAGAAGCGCCAACTAATCCAGTAAGTAGAAAAAAATCACTATGCATTTACTTGAATATGTGGCCCAGGAAAATGTTGCCATAGCTTTCTTTAACCATGAGGAACAAAAATAAATATGCTTTAAAATGATTCCTGTTCTTTACCACTTCCACCTCCAATGAGATAAAGAATGTAAAATTGAAAAGGAAAAATATAGCTAAATGTGCTATTTTCACACACATAGTTATGATATAGAAAATACTTATAAACATGCAGGCACATACACAGCAGAATTCATAATAAAGTTGTGAGAAACCTTCTTATTCCCAGAAGAGAATTCTACTAGCAAGACATTTCCTAGAAGAGAGCAGTGGCTCCTGAAATTGTGCCTTGATGCCCTGCCTCAAAGACTTTAGGGCTGTTTGCATTGTGTGCACGCGCGTACACGCGTGCACGCAGTCCAGTGCAAGTGAGTGTGTATGTGTTCACCAAGGAAGAGGAGGAGATTTGTGAGAAAGTTGTCCCTAAAGTGTGAGATCTACATAAATCCTGGTGTTTCACCTTATGAAGGTGATTGATTTTCATTTTCAAAATACGTGACTTTTGAGGCATCTGTTTTGGGGGCAGACTGCTTTACAGCTGCAACAGAGAGAGCATGCTTGTCATTAGCCAGTTGCTCAGTCACTGTCTCCATTTATAGTTGGGTTTTAAAAGTATTCCAAATAGGAACTCTGAGTTTCTGCTGATCTTGAGTCATCAAATACAAGCTTTATTCTTTCAATCAGTTCCATCTATGCTCACATTTTTTAAGATTGGTATGGTATACTAGAAAAATCTGACCCTCATAATGGAGTATTTATTTTAGAGTGTCTTAATAAGTTTATTAATGAGAACACTGCCTCTCTTTCTATTGGGTACTATTGGGACCACATTCTTGCAGAAGGGGAAGTTCATCCTACCGAAACAAGACTATTCAGGTTGCCTAAATTACAAAAGTAAATTGCAAATCTTTCCCCTGAAAGGCTTGTATTTAAAAAAAAAAAAAAAGGAGGCGGGGGAAGGAAACTCTATTCAACAGCCTCCTGTGACTTACAGAACTAAATCTAGAATTGCAAAATCCCTAGGAAACTGCAATTGTGACAAATGATACATGGGACAGATAGCTGTAACAGTCAGAATCCCATAAAAAATAATGGCACACTGAAACTAGCTCTTCTCTGGGAGTTAATTTTTAAAGGCATTCTTTACATAGGCCTATCTAAGTACAGAGAAGCCATAGGAACAGAGCGGTAATCCAGGGCTGGCAGAGTCAGAAATGGCATCTCCTCTAGGCTCAAGGGGACCCAGAGGGAGAGAGCAGCAGTTTGAACCAGGAAAGAAAGAGTGTTGTAGAGGAGAAGTCCTAGAGGGAACCAGTGACCCTCCTGGGCAACCGGAAACTTCACAGTCAGGTTGCCAGAAGATATGTGTCCCAAGAGTCTGTCAGTGTCAGCAGGGGCACTGTTGCTATCTTGGGTTTCATGATGTGTTTTGCTCCCCATCCATCCAATGGTAATAGTATAAACTAGTCACTGTGGCAATAAAATATATTTCTCCATTCATTTCTAAATTTTCCCTGGTCAGTTGGTGATTTCCTATCTAAGTGACAACCACTGGAAATGAAATGTTAACCTAATGTCTCTGGGAATGTTTTCATCTTTATCTCTGGATAAATCTAGATCTCCAGAAAGCTCAACCACGAAAGCTAAATATCTGTGGTGGGAGGGCAAGAGAGCTGCATCACTCACAGCCCCACATCCACCTTCCAGGCAGGAAAGAGGAAAAGAGAAAGGTAGGAAGGGATGATGCTTATGTCAGGAGAGCCCTAGTTTTCACAAAAATGTTTAGTGCATGTCTCATTGGCCAGAACCATGTCACACTACAGCTTCTACTTACAAAGTAGCCTTGGAAAGTATTTTAAGTGGGCACAGTACTGCCCCAAACGAAATTGAAATTCTTTTAAGTAATGAGGAAGGGGAGTGTGTTACGATGAGGAAGCAGTTAGCAGCATCCACCCTACATGTCTACTATCTCTTGTGGGTTGGTGTGGGTAAATGATAATAAGAGTAATATCAAATCTCGCATCCTGTCTTCTTATACATAGTATAATTAGCCTGGAAATTAATAAAGAACAAAATTAGAATGTGGTCATTTATTTGTTATATTAACAAATTTTATCAAAATTAAAACATTATATCACTTGCATATTTGCACATTCCTAATAGACTAATGTTTAAGGACAAATTTTAGGATCTCCAAGTTTTCCCTAAGCATTTACTTATCTTCCATCACAATTATAGCCTCCCATATTTCAGAAGGAAGGCATTGTCACCTTCGTGTCATTAAGGCATTCCTATGACATTCAGTAAGTGTATTTTTGTCTGTGATAGCAAGATAAAGTTTTATTTTATTTTTTCAATTGCAGTTGACATTCAATATTATTTTATATTAGTGTACCACACAGTGGTTAAACATTTGCATAACTTACAAGTGACCTCCCCCAATAAGTCTAGTACCCATATATTCTTTACACTGTGCTTTACATCCCTGTGACTATTTTTATAAGTATCAATTTGTACTTCACCTTTTTTATTGAGACTCCCAGTTTCCCTCCCATCTGCCATCCATCAGTCTGTTCTCTATACCTATGAGTCTATTTCTGTTTTGTTCTTTAGATTCCACCTATAAGTGGAAACATATGGTATTTCTTTCTGTCTGACTTATTTCACTTAGCAAAATACCAACTAGGTCTATTCATGTTGTTGCAAATGGTAAGATTCATTCTTTTTTATGGCTGAGTAATATTCCATTTATAGTAAGTATTTCTGAGTTGAACAATGAATGCTGCAGACCTCAGGAAGATATAAAAGGAGGAGGAGGAGGAGGAGGCTGCATTTGAGTTATCTTTGGTAAATTACTCTTTGACAGGAATCTTTGATCTAAAATTTAGCATCTCTTGGTTGTGCCATTGTGTTTGTTTTTCTCAACACCCCTCTTTGCTTTTTTTTTTTTTTGTTCCTTCTGACCCATCCTCCAGCTTTCTTTCACTAGCACCTCCTTTTAGCACTATAGTGACTACATCATTGGGTAGCTTGATTGAGAGCAGATTCTTTAATTTATTTTATTTTGTTGTTTGTGCTTTGTATTCTACAAGGTAGAAAAAAAATCGCCAAATCCAATGTCATGAATCTTCCTCTCTATGCTTTTTAAGGGTATTATAGTTGGCATTATTATATTTAGGGCTATTTTTCCCCTATTGAATGGTCTTGGCACGTTTGTCAAAAATTAATTTTACGTGCATTCAAAGGCTCATTTCTGGATTCTCTATTCTATTCCATTGATTTATAGATCTGCCTTTATGCCACTACTACACTATTTTGATTATTATAGTTGTGTGGTAAATTTTGAGACTCGGCATTTTGAAATCTCCAATTTTGCTTTTCTCTTCAAGATTGTTTTGGCTATTCAGAGTCTTTTAAAATTGCGTATGAATTTAAGGATGGATTTTTCTGTTTTTGCAAAAAAAGATACCCATGTGATTTTGAAAAAGATGGTATTAAATCTGTAGACCACTCTAGGTAGTGTTAACATCTTAACTATATTAAAATCTTCCAACCCATGAACATGAATGTCTTTTTATTTATGTGTGTCTTCTTTAATTTATTTCATCTGCATTTTGTACTTTTCAGTGTACACATCTTTCACTTCTTTGGTTAAGTTTATTCCTAAGTATTTTTATCCTGCTGTTCTTACAAATGGCATTCTTTCCTTGATATCCTTTTCAGATTGTTCATTGGTAGTACACAAAAACAGCTGATTTTTGTGTTAGTCTCTGAACTCTTAGATGGCAGGAGCCATGCCAGATTTGTATTGTTCAGAGTTAATACAAAAATAATAGTTTAGCAGTTTTTAATACATTTTTTAAAAATTTTTCATTGGCAGTAACCTCTGTCTTTTTCTTTTTTTCCCTCCCTCCCATTTCAGGGCTCTACTGGTGCCACAGCCTCTCCTCCAGTCTCCACCCCTGTCACAGGACACAAGAGAATGGTCATACCAAACCAGCCCCCACTGACAGCAACCAAAAAGTCTACACTGAAACCACAGCCTGCTCCTCAGGCTGGACCCATCCCTGTGGCTCCAATTGGAACACTAAAACCCCAGCCTCAGCCAGTCCCAGCCTCCTACACTACGGCATCCACCCCATCAAGGCCTACCTTCAATGTGCAAGTGAAGTCAGCCCAGCCCAGCTCTCATTACATGGCTGCCCCTTCACCAGGACAATTTTATGGGCCAGGGCCTGGGCCCCAGAGCTATAACACTCAACCAGTTCCTATATCTGGGCAGTGTCCACCTCCTTCAACACGGGGAGGCCTGGATTATGCATATATTCCACCACCAGGACTTCAGCCTGATCCTGGGTATGGGTATGGTCCTAACCAAGGGCGCTATTATGAAGCCTATTGCCCAGCGGGGCCTGCATATGGGGGCAAAAATGATCCTGATCCTGCCTATGGTCAACAAGGTCACCCCAATCCCTGGAAGCGGGAGCAAGGGTACACTCCATCTGTAACAGGAAACCAGCACCCTGCTGGGATGTATCCAGTTGCTGGTCCCAAGAAGACCTATATCACAGACCCTGTTCCAGCCCCCTCTGCACCTCCACTGCAACCAAAGGTAAGAAACTCATTAACACAATAATGGGAGTAAATCTCTGCCTATTCAGTTTGCATTGCCGAACAATCAGAGCCTAAGGCAAAAGTATATGTTCTGCTTTTATGGCATTAGAAAGTACAATCTCAAGGAGACTTGAGGACCATAGAAAAAGAGGGAGATCCCATTGGGGATATGGAGTCATTCTATGGATAGGGTTATTGTTTAGTACCAAGTGCATCTATGTGTTCATTCTTGAAAGATCTTCTTCCAAAAGAGCATATGAACTGTAGCTGCACAGGACAATCTTTTTGTGGTAGGAAAAGGGAAAATAATTTATCTTCCAGCTCTTATCTCTTCTTGGACCAAGGTTCTCTGTGAGTCAAAAACTTCCTCACACCTAGACATTGCATTTACTTGGGCACTAAACAGAAATGTAGCCTCTCATGCTTTGCAGAGACAGGCCATCAACACATCTGGAGGTGAGAGGTATGTAGGACAAACATGAGTTGAGCTGCTGACACGCTGGGCTTATGTGATGGTGGTTAGAACTCAAACCAAGTTGGTGCCACAGTGGCTGCTAGGACGTAAGTGGCCAACAACCCAGGAGACAGGTGAGGCCAAGGGGAGGTAAGGTAATGCAAACACCTTGTCTGGTTTCCTTTGGGAAGAGGCTGCTGCAGTATAATGACACTTGTTTATTGCCCCTTGTTGATCCTCATTACTGATCCTCTAAGAAGAATTTTACTCTCTAGTCTTTAAAGACAGTTTTTAAGATAGTTTTTAAGACAGTCTTTAAAGACAGTTTTTAAAAATTCTTTATGACAGTTTTTTTTCATTGTTTGATTTACATCCAACATTGAACTGATCTGGTGGTGTAGGAAAAGAATTGGCACACAGTGCAAGACCTGAATCTAACATGTTAGGTCCAGCTACATCACTACCGTTTGGTTATCACCAACCTACTCAGGGTGATGGAATGAACTTTTCTTAACCACTCATCAGAAAATGTGACACTTTATCTTCCTTCTTTTTGTAATTATTCATCATGGTCCATTACATTATTATGGATTGTGGATATCAGTGAATTTCATGTCATTTAAAATTTTTTTTGAAATATTTTTTTGAAAAAATTGTTTTTAATTTTTTTTGAAATTTGTTCTTCAACAGTGTTATGTGTTTGAAAACCACATTGTGCATTTTAAACACGAAAGTCAAGCCATGCACATCTCTCTGTGATTATTAAGGAGAGTGGTTTGAGGGTGGTATTTATCCATCTGTCAGTGTTTTGGGAAAGGGGAGAGTGGCTGATGAGGCTACAGATATACTCTGTATGTGGTGGGGTCACTGGCGAATGAAGGGATAGGCTTTTCCACAGTTAGCCTTTGAGCAGAACACTGCTGTATTCAACTGCACCTGTGCACAGAGGACCGTATTGTTCCAATATTGACTCTGCTTGGCTTAGTGATGTGACTACTGGCTTGAGAAATGAGCTCCTACGTCGAATTCCAGTTCCTCCCATGACATTCCACTTACAGCTTGAGGAAAGCCTCTAGACCTCTTTATGTCACGCTTCTGGCCTCAGCAAAGTGGAACATCATCTTCTCTAATTAATTAATGATTGCAAACAGCTTGGAAATTTCCAAAGGCGGAATAATTGCCAAGCGAGGACTGTTTTTACTGGCCTTCCTTTATTTCCAATTTTTAGTGATTGATGGAAAACTTACCTTCATGCCTTAAAACAATGCTCATTTGTTACGCTTAGACATTCTGAGGAATTTGACATTTAACCCATTAAGGAAAAAAAAAAATTTAATGAAAGGAGTAAATTTCCCCTGTACCGAGATGAATTGCTTTAATTTTCCAACATCATAGTGAAATTTAAAAGAAGAGGGAGAGGAGGAGAAGCAGATAAAAAAGGAAAAGAGAGAAAAGAAAAAAGAGAAGAAAAGAATGAAGAAGAGAATGAAGAAAGGAAGGAGATAAAATCAGAACCTGCAAGGCTGGGAGATCATGATTATATTTGTGTTCCTATAATGTGCTGAGCAGTGAATTTGCATGCCACAGTAGACCATAATGTGTTTCCTGTACCATCTGAGCTGAGTTCCTTGAAAAATATTGTTATAAGCAAGTCTTTATAAGGGAGAAATGTTCCCTTCTCACTGAAAATCCTCTTAAACAGTGGAATCTTTCCTCTTTACTGTTTTAGAAAAGCAAGTATCTGGCATTCCTGTGTAGTTCACAGAACTCTTTTCCTGTGCATTATCTTCATAGCCATGTGAAAAGGGATGTGTGTTTTCTCCAATATTCAGATAAAGCCAGTTATCACTCTCAGGTCCAGAGTGGCAGGGCGGCTCTAGTGCCTGATTCCTTGTCATAAATGCAATCGGTGTCAGCCTCAGGGCAGTTAAAGAGACAGCCATTTGTCCCATACTATGTGAAAGGCACTGATGTTGTGCATCCCAGGAAAGGTATAGTGGTGCGCCTAGTGAGGGGGTTGGATTAAATTCTAAAATCACCGATTATTATAATTTCCTTGAAAAATCCTTCAGGAAGGTGAGACCTTGGAGAACAACAAACTACCTTTCACTAAACCTAACAAAGTTGTTCGCTCTTCCAGTGTTAGAACAGATCACTGCTCTTTATTTAGTTTTTGAAACTGAGGATATTTAATTGGCAGAGAAGAGAGTCAAGGTAGTGAAATGCCCAGGGTGAGTGTTGAAGAATCCCTAAAACCTGTAATTTGTAATATTCTCAAAATATTTGAGAATATCGATATAGTAGCATTTCAAACATTCAATTAATATCAAAATGTTTCTTCCCTTTTTTTTCATTTGTGGAAAAGAGAAGGATATAGAGTTTGGGTACGTAGCAAAGAATTGGTGGTGTTTTGGAGAAATTGTCTTTATGGTAATCCCTGTGTTAAATCTCTCTCAATTCCAGGATTAGAGAAACAAAAAGGAAGAGATAGATGTTAGGATGAGGAAAAGGATGGATGTGGATACATGCTTCAGGGCAATTGATAATACCTGGACGTGTGCAAAGACAGCAATGCTTGAGAAAGTTGGTGACAGGAATATTAGTTATTCTTTTGTGCAGGGCTTTTCTGTTTCCATAGTCTTTTGTGGACCTCACCAAATCCACCCGTATTAAGTACAGAAGTTTCTGTCCCTCTTATACTGTTGAGAGTTCAAAAGCTCAGTAATGATGGTCGTTCAACTAAGATCTTATATCAAATTTATGGGAGAACCACACCTCCAAACCAGACCTTCTGAAGATTGTCCTCCTGCTTTCCTCCTGGAGAACGGTGGATCTCGGCATCACTGGCCACTCATGTGGCTCCATTGTGGCCCACGTCACGAGCAGACATTTGAGTGGTCTCAAGCAGTTGTGGTGCAGTGTCATGAGATCAACAGTTGGAGGGGAAGCACCCATTAAATCCCTGCCAGGCACCCAAGCTTGAGGTCTTGGAGCTACACTTCCTCTTCCTCATTACCCATGCATAATTTGTCCCGAGTTTCTTTCTAACTTCACAATATCTCAAATCTATTTTCTCATCCAAATCCCCCCTGAGGCTGTCTTAATTCGGTTGTTCTCATTTCTCACCTGCATCCTTGGAATGTCCTCTTAATGGGTGTCTCCACCTCTAATCTCTCTCCACACCTGTTCATTCTAGACATGCTACCAGATTAATCTTTCTACCATACAGCTCTGCCCTTGTCATTAATTGTATTTTTCAGAAAAAACCTTGAGAAGTTTCCAGCCACTTGTGGAATGAATTGAAACTCCTGCCTGGATTTCCAGTCTCATCTTACCTTTTTAAACATCTGGGCTTCCAGCTAAGAAGTTATATGCCTAGTTGTTTCTCCTCTCTGTAATCTTGGTCATGGAGCTTTTTCTTTCTGGAATGCCTTCTCATACCTCCTTGAAAAAACTAAAATATTTGCTCAATCAAATGTGACCCAACAAGAATGAACTAAAGTTCTGATCTCTCTTGTGAAGTCTTTTCCTCTTCCTAAAATTGAGTTGTGTATTTTTTTACCCTCTCTTGTAGAAGTTTTCACACTCATAACTATACTAGAATCAGTTATGTACCTGTCCTTCACCCACCTATGCCCCAGTGTCTTTTAGACCTGGAGATTTATGGGGTAGGGATGCTATCTGAACAACCCTGTTTTCCCCAGAGTAACTAACATATTGCATAATGCATTCTTGTTTAATGAAGGTGCTTAAAGAAACTCCTTATGTCCTAAAAATACTTAAAAATAAGTTTTTAGAACTTAGCAGGTCATTCAGCAAAATGCCAAAACCAAAACCTACTTTACCAAATCAGTTTAGGTGACCTCAATAACACAAGCGTTGTCACATCAGCAACTCAGCATGCAGAGCAGCCAGGTAATTTCTCAGGTTCACTGTTGCTCTATCATTTTACTTTCTGTCTGAGATACACGTGTTTCTGAATATGTTATTATATACACAGTCTTGGTTATGTTGTGCACTTGCCAAATATCTATGGAATTTGTTGATTCATATTTTTAATCTACTTTTTGAGGTTTAATTTATATACAATGACATGTGTCCATTTTAAACATGTAAGGCAGGACATTTTTGACAAGTGTATGTACCTGTGAAATCACCACCACAATCAAGGGGAGAGAACATTTCAGCTACCCACAGAGCTTCCCCGTGCCCTGTTGCAGTCAGTGCCCTTTCCTCTCAGCCCCTGCCTGTTTTCTAACATCAATCATTTTGATCCCTTCTTGAATTTCATATGCATGGAACCATACAGTATGCACGGTCATGCCTGGGCTTCTTTTACTCAGGGTAACTATAATTTTTTTGAGATTCATTTATGTTACTGTGTGTATCAACAGTTCATTTTCATTGCTAAGTAGTGTTGCATTACATGGATATGTACTAAATTTTGTTTATTCACTTGTTTTGAGATATTTGTTTATTTTTACATTTTGAGTTTTGAATGAAGCTGCTATGAACATTCTGTGTACATAAACAGCTCCCATTTT